AGAAGGGAGACGACCTACAGCTCTTCTCCATTTCTGTGATTCAATTCCCAGGACAATCAGTCCGATGCCTGGAAAGTCACTTAGAGAGAGCCTATAACAACCCTCTCGCAGCTAGGGGGCAACTCGATGTATTTGCTGTTTGTGGTAGGGGGCAGCTCTGTCACAAAATGGGTCATAGCGGAGACAGCTTATACCTGTACATAGCCCAAGGAAAAGCCTTCAGACACTCCCATAGCTCAAGCAAGGAGGCAGAGCCCCGCCATCTCTCGATAGCTGTCTGACTGTGGAGTACCGGGGAGCTCTGGGATGGGGCAGGCCGTTGGCCAGCCCGTGAGCAGAAGAGAGACCCACGGGGATGCAGAACGCTTGAGGTTAGTGTGTGGAGTGATAGGTCAATGAAGAAACCAGCTGAAATGCGAAACGTCAAGCAGCAGCCATCCGCCCCGGTGCTGTGGGAATTAGTTTGTATCCGAATGACAGCACCAGCTAACATAGCTTAGAAAACAAATATAGAACAGCGCCTGAAAGCCCAGCCTTATGCTTCATCAATGACAGTGAATAAGTCGGGCCTCTGCCCGTTTTTCTTCAAATACAATGTGCTAAATAGTCCCGTCCTGCTCCTTGAGGACGGGCAAGTGTGCTGCAGACATAGGTGGAAGCCGAGGTTTAGCAATAGTTGGTTTGACTTACCTCCCTAGTTGCTACGTGTCCGTGTCTCGCTGCGGTCTGCCAAGGTCAGGCAAATGCTGGTGCTTCACAGATCCCTTTTATATGCTTATTATCAGGCCTGGGCTGTTCTCATCTGCACCTTGCCAGTGCCAACTGAGCTAAAAATACTACAAAGAATTGGAGAACACAGCAGGCACTTTGCAGGGTGCAAGCACTCCAGAGGGCCTGAGAGTTCTGCAGAATAATTGGCCAGAGAAGTATTTATATCCATATTTATATAGAAAGCAATTCTAGTGGGAGAGATAAGCTACTTTTTCATAGCAGCAGCCAGCACCTGCAAAGGCAGCGTTTGCCTTCTCTCCCCAGCCAGCTCTTTAGAATCACTAATTGGAGAAACAGGTGGGTGCATTCTGGAGGAGAACAAGAAAATGGATGGGGGTTTTGTTTGTCTCAGGGTGGTTTGAAAATGAGGATCATGCTGCTCCCCCCTCCCCCCAGCCTCTGTTTGCAAATCCTATATCTTCCTTGAGTCCCATTTTCATAGCAATCTCCATTCACTCTGGGAGGGACCTAGTTTCATAGAATCATCGAATATCAGGGTTGGAAGGGACCTCAGGAGGTCATCTAGTCCAACCCCCTGCTCAAAGCAGGACCAATCCCCAACTAAATCATCCCAGCCAGGGCTTTGTCAAGCCTGACTTTAAAACCTTCTAAGGAAGGCGATTCCACCAGGTAACCCATTCCAGTGGTAGACTCCCTAGGTAACCCATTCCAGTGCTTCACCACCCTCCTAGTGAAATAGCTTTTCCTAATATCCAATCTAGACCTCCCCCACTGCAACTTGAGACCATTACTCCTCGTTCTGTCATCCACCACCATTGAGAACAGCCGAGCTCCATCCTCTTTGGAACCCCCTTTCAGGCAATAGAAAGCAGCTGTCAAATCCCCCCACCTCCACTCTTCTCTTCTTTCATCCCAGTCCAGCTTGCTTCTTGCAGGGAAGGGGCATTCAGCCAAGAATACCTTCTGTAGCAGCAGGACTAACAGTTGCAGAGGTGGGGAGTGAAATTACTTCTCTCTTTAGATTCTTGGCTCTTTGGGGCAGGGGCTGTCTGCCTGTCCTGTGTTTGTACAGTGCCGACCACAATGGGGTCCGTGTCTGGAACTGCTAGGTACTATTGTAATACAAATACTATCTCAGGACGATGCCTTGGTATCTCCAGGCATGGATACACTTTATTGGTATTATTGTCTAACTGTCTTTCCCTAAGGGTAGGTCTATACTTAAAGCCGGAGGCGTAATTGCCAGCACAAGGAGACGCACACATGCTAGCTCTGAGAGAGCTAGTGCACTAAAAATAGGGTTGCCACACCATCATGAGTAGCTAGCTGCCCGAATACACACCCTGTGTCTCAGAGAGGACTATTCTCAGGGCTGCTAGCCCATCCCGCTGCTTGTGCTGCGGTGCCTACATTCTGTTTTTAGTGTCCTAATTTGATCAGACCTAGCACAAGAATGTCTCCCCTCGCTGAAATTTACAGCGCCAGCAGGCATATCTCCCCTGTTCCTGTTCACACATAGAATCATAGAATATTAGGGTTGGAAGAGACCTCAGGAGGTCATCTAGTCCAACTCCCTGCTCAAAGCAGGACCAACCCCAATTAAATCATCCCAGCCAGGGCTTCGTCAAACCTCTAAGGATCGAGATTCCACCACCTCACTAGGAAACCCATTCCAGTGCTTCACCACCCTCCTAGTGAAATAGTGTTTCCTAATATCCAACCTAGACCTCCCCCACTGCAACGTGAGACCATTGCACCTTGTTCTGTCATCTGCCACCACTGAGAACAGCCGAGCTCCATCTGCTTTGGAACCCCGCTTCAAGTAGTTGAAAGCAGCTATCAAATCCCCCCTCACTCTTCTCTGCTGCAGACTGACTAACCCCAGTTCCCTCAGCCTCTCTTCGTAAGTCATGTGTCCCAGCCCCATAATCATTTTTGTTGCCCTCCACTGGACTCTCTCCAATTTGTCCACATCTTCACTCCATCCGCAAATATCCTGCATCATCTTGATCAGAGCTGTGGTCAAACAATGGGACAATCTTAGTGGCCAGCTGCATGGGGAAAAATGTCATTGGAAGAATATTTTCCTGGGCTCTACTGCAGAACTTGGCAGAAAAGGAGAAAAATTGTTTTGGAATTGATGAGAGAAATGCGTCAAAGAAGCTTCCACGGACATTAGTGCATCAGTTCTGCTCTGGATTTCCTGTGTAATGAAATCACGGTTTACCGAGGCGGCAGGTTGTTGTGTGTTTCCCTTCCTACTTATGTAGGCTCTGATGATGCATGTGGCAAGGGGGGGCTGCACGCACACACACCTCGGAGCAGACTGCACATTAAATTACTAGTGCTGCGACTTGGTATTTGCAGAAAGTCAGTAAAAAAGGAAACTTTCACAGTTAGCAGATCGTTGCGCCAAGGATTTAGCGAGGGAAGATTGCTGGACCCATGGCAGACAGCTAAATATGCAATGGCTACGTGACGGGGTGTCCACCCCACACAAGCCCTGAGCGAGGCCAGACAGGATTAATTAACCTTCGATGCTGCAGCTGGAGGGGAACCAGGGCTTGATAAGGCCTATGGCAGATTAAACCCAGCTGCGGAAGGAGCTTGGCTAAGAGTATGAGCCAGGAAGTGAGAGCAGAAAGAGGCCGCAGGGATGAGGTCTGTGGTCACTCCCTAGAGGCAAAGAGAGCTGGCCAGGAATAAGAAGGAGAATCCTGGGGGTCCTGTCTTGGACTGGGGAGTCTGGCAAGAGGCTGATAATGGTGAAGTAACCGTGGGGAGCAGAGGAATCTCCGGGGTAAATCCAGAGATAGGCAAGGAGCCCAGGGAAACAACAACAGGGACTGAGATTGAGCAGACCTAGGTTGCTAGTCACAGGGTCCCTGGGCTGGAACGCAGAGTAGGGATGCACCCAGGTTCCCCTACCAGGCACGGGGAAGTGACACAGGACCTGGAGACCATCTGAGACAGCATTCGGACAGCTTGTCCAGTGGGACGTTGTTACCCCGGAAAAAGGGGATTATAGAGTGACCTGGTTGGAGGGCCAAATGGTGAAAAGGGAGGACCCTGAGTTATGAAGAGAAGGGCCACAGTGCTAACAATGGACAGAAGGGGGCACCAGAGGAGGCCAAAGCTAATTCCCAGACCCAACCACAAGGAGGTGCTCCTGCAGTGAGTGGAACTCCTTCAGAAGCTAAAATACACTTTCAATCCCTCTAACAGGGCCGCCCGGGGGGAGCAAGTGGGGCAATTTTCCCCGGGCCCCATGGAGGCCCCCAGGAGAGTTTTTGGCGGGTCTTCGGCGGCAGGTCCTTCAGTGCCGCCGAATACACCCGGAGGGAGTGAAGGACCCACTGTGAAGACCCGGAGCTCCTTCCACTCCAGGTCTTCGGCAGCAATTCGGCGGCAGGTCCTTCACTCGCTCTGGGACCTGCCGCTGCCGAAGTGTCCCGAAGACCCGGAGCAGAAGGACTCCCGCCGTCGAAGACCTCAGGCCCCCTGAATTCTCTGGGCGGCCTTGCCCTCTAAACGTTAACGACACTAGCACAGACCCCTAGACACTGCAGAAATCCAGAGGGCTATAAAAGGAATAAATCTTAGAGCATCTTCTCCATCCCTCTGCCAACACAAAATCATTCCCTAGCAGTATATTCTCCATTGTTTTGTCCAGCCAGGTTTCCCAGGCTCTGCTTGCAGAGAAAAGCAAACCACTGCAGTTAGTTACTGTTGTTGTGATCTGAATGTACCGTAAGTGCACTAATGAAATGGGCATAATGAAAGGAGGATTCTAACTGGCTTACAAGTGCCCACCTATGCAGGCATCCCATGAAACTGGCTGGGTCAAATGTTGATTTCACTTCTGCAAACTCACTAGGAACATAGGAACTGCCAGACCGGATCACAGGTGTGATCCATCTAGTCTAGTGTCCTGCCTCTGACAGTGACCAGCAGCAAACGTGTCCTACAAGAACCATGCAGTAGGCACTTTAAACTCCTCCAAGGGGGAAAATAGGTGGCGTGGTAATTTCCTGTGCTCATTCATTTTAATTGCGAAACCCTTCCAGCCTCTCTTGGCTCCTGAAGTGCGTAGCTGCTTTTTCACAAAGCCCTCAGCAAGAAGCCAAAAATGAAGAGACAAGGGAGAATTGCTCACGCTTCGATATTGGCTGCCGGCTGCCTTTCCATTCCAATTCCCTGGAAAGCAAAGTTGAATCCAAGAAACGAGGCCAGGGAGAATATTTTTAAATAGTCCATTTAAATGCCTTTACCTGGACTAGAGTTGTACTTTCCAAATTAAGTGTACACTTAACTTTCCCAAAGTGATAAATCTGAAGGCCAGGAGGGTCTATCATGACTATCTAGTCTGACTTCCAAGCAGAGCACACAGAGAATGCCACCTGATGGTTCTTTCGACAAGTCTAGCACGTTGTGATTGCACTAGAGCATATCTTTTTAGCAAGGCATCTGGTTTCCAATCAAAGACTCCCAGTGGTAGTAAATGCCCCACAGCCTTTTGTAAACCGTGCAAGTAGTGAAGCTATCCTTACTGTTAAAAACGTGTACCTTATTTCCAAGTTGCCTTCTTCTGTCTTCAACATCCAGCCATTGGACCTTGCTCCTTTTTTGTCTGCTAGATTAATCAGCCCTTTTCTGTGGATTGCAAGGTCTTTGGAGCAGGGACTTTTTGTTCTGTGTTTGTACAGTACCTAGCACAAATGGGTCCTGGTCCATGACTGGGGCTCGTTGATGTGACTGCAATACAGATAATAAATCATACCACTGGATAGCGTCTTGCTGTGCAGGTAGTTTTATTCTGAGCTGCAGTGTTCTTAGAAAATTTGCAGTACACTGGGCATGTGGGTTGATCACCGAATTAAACATTTTTGCAGGTGGGGAAAGTAATGGGGTCATGGTTTTCTAAAGGAGTCACATGTCCGAAATCCTGATTTGCCCATGGAAGAGCTTGTTATGTAGAGTCATATGGAACCTTCTCCTTTTCCACTGAGATCCCACAGCATGCGCTGGATAGCTGTGCATCTCTACAAATGTTTCTTCTATTTTTCCTTTTCCCGTCTCCCTCCTCCCGCTTTCCCCCATATCCTGGTGATGAATTTCTAACAGAAGCATGACATTTTGATTAAAGAACTAGAAAGATATAAAATTAACAGGGCAAAAATTACAAGGATTTAAAGCTGGCTAACTGATAGGTCTCAAAAGGTTATTGTAAACGGTATCATCATCAAGTGCATATGTTTCCAGTTGAGTCCTGCAGGGATCGGTTCTTGGCCTTATGCTATTAAACATTTTTATTCATGACCTGGAAGAAAATATAA